AATGCTCAAAGCTTCAATGGTGATTTTAGTGTATATTACATTTTACTAATATTAAATTTAATCATTTAATATAAAAAAAAAATTGAAATAAAATTTCTTCATTTAATATAACATAATAACATTTCTGCACTTCTTTGTTAGTTAAGTTAATTTTTTAATTGAACTTATTTTACAATAATTTTTTATATACAGTCCCTAATCAAATTATTAGTCCACATTGTTTTTGTTTGTTTTTTTTGTATTTTTTTGTAATTCTGGTAGTAAAAAATTAGTTTCTACAGAAAAATGCAAAACACAACATTGAAATAATTGCTTAAAAATCATTCAAATCTAAATTTTATGGAAATAAATCAAAATGGTTAATAAAAACCATCACTTCACACTAAAAAAATGTATATATCAAAAAAGTATAGATGACAAAACATAAATTTTGTGGGTTAAACAGGTGCCACTTGTACTCCTGTTTTGTTGCCATACTAAAAATAATTATATACTTCTAAAAACTTGAAAATGTTTAGTTATAAAACAAAAAAATATAAAAGCTAGTAACAATATTGCAATCCAATTTAAATACCACCTAAAAGATCAAAACATCAAAACTCTATAAAATTGGTAAGGTAGGCTTATAATTTGAGCTGGGACTATATTGATAGTTTAAGAAAGGTAATTTTTTAAACAACTTTTTGTATTGAAAGAAAGCAAAATCAAGTACATGTAAAAACCATTAAATTTAAATTAGGAAACTAATTAAATTTTATCCTTTTATTTTAAAACCACAAAAATGCAACTTATTAGGCTGGAATGTTTTTTTATTTATAAAAAAACACAAAAGTATTCTGAATGTTTTTATTTTTATTTTTTTACTGTTTACATAATCAACAGACAAATAGGTAATATATGTGAGGAGTGCTGCTGCATAGACTGACTGTTTAATCTAAAGGGAAAAAGTTTACAATTGATCACTTTCTTGCTGAAAAAATTCCTATTAACACCATCTATACCATTATTCGGCGCACTGAAAATAATTCTGGGCACAAGAGTGTCCCTGGAAGTGGTAGGATTGCTAAAATAATGACAAAAAGATAAAATAAATTACCAAAAAACAAGTTTATTTAGGTTTTATTTAAGATTAAGTTTCCAAGTACCATTTATTAAAAAATACATACTGCTGTGCTTTCACTTGCCATTATACAAAAAAGTTAAACATACAGTTTATGAATAATTTTATGCAGTTATAACATGTTTAATTTTTTGTAAAAAATAGAATAGATTTATCTCTTCCGAGATAAAAAAAAAAGGTTTTTGTTATGGTTTTTTATCATGAAAGAAAAACTGAGTTTTAAAAAAACTAATTTTTTTAAACTTAAATAATTTTTTTAATCAAAATTCTAAATTATAAAGATATTTCTGTTTTAACTTTTTTAATATTGCAATTTGTTAATTATATAAAGCTGATGTAACTATTATAAAATAATTTTTTTCTAAACTATTATTTTTTTTTGATAAATCAAACTTATAAATATAAACGAAGACATAAAATCCATATGCTATTTTTTAGCTTATAATTTATTATTATTTTTTTTAAATTGGGTAATTATTTTTGTAATAAAAAATTGTCTAAATAAATATTCTTGATTATGCAAGATGATAAATAAATGTTTTTTATGTTTGTTGTATATATACAGGGTGGCCAGCGGTCCTTGAAATCCTGGAAAAGTCCTGGAATTTTAAAGGTCCTGGAAAAATCCTGGAAAAACACTCTTTTTTACAAAAAATCCTTGAAATCCTGGAACTTTTTTTGAAAGATTTCGATATTTCGTTTTGATGTTTTTATCTTTTTATTTTTGATTATGTATTTTCTAGAATATTCAAAAAATATATATAAATATTTTAAATAATGTATTAGTTCTTCTTAGTATTCTTCTTGGATAAAATTTTGTTCTTTAAATTCAAAGAAAGCAAGATGTAATTGGTGTCGAACAGATATTAATATTTCTAACATGGGAGTATCTGAGTATCTGAGTATCTTAGATTCACATGCAACTGGTAAGAAGCATAAAGAGCATGCAAAGACACATAATGCAGCTGATATGTTTTTTACAGGTTATTTTTTAGTTATTTATATTTATATTTAAATATATTATAAAGAATTATATATTTAATTAATTTAGTTTTTTAATTTTGAAAAGCTTGGAGCAAGTTGATTAGCTGCGCACTTTACAGGATATATATTTTCATGTTTCACTTTTAGATTTTACTACAGAAATATCTGGTGATAAAGCAGCTTCCAGTAATTTTCAAGAACTTTCTCCTCATTCAAACAAAGTTTTAAATGACAAAGTTACACAGTCTACTATAGAGGATCTTCAATCTCCAGCTTTGGTTACTAAGGCAGAAATAATATGGACCTTAAATGTTGTAATGTCACATTTTTCTTTAAGATCATGCTTAAATTTAAATGAAATATTCAAATTTATGTTTTCTGACAGTAAAATTGCATCAAAGTTTGCATTAGGCAAAACAAAATGTGGTTACCTCATTAATTTTGGTTTGGCGCCATACTATCGAGACCAACTTTGCATCGCCAATCTTTGTTTTGTCATATGATGAGAGTATGAATATAACTTTTAAAAATGAACAAATGGATTGTGGAGTTAGATACTAGGATTCAAATTCAGGTGTTGTAAAAGTTAGATATATTGATTCGAAATTCCTCAGACGCCCTAATGCACAGAATTTATTTGACAAACTCATTGAAGCAACAGAGATGTTAGATCTTGGAAAACTTATTCAAGTTTCAATGGATGGTCCTAATGTTAATTGGGAGGTTCTTAAAATGTTAAATGAGCATAGACAGGAAAAACGATATTCTGACATTGTTAATATGGGCAGTTGCAGCTTGCATATTGTTCATGGTGCCCTACAGACAGCAATAAACTCCCAAAAGTGGGAGTTGGAAAAAATATTTCGTGCAATGTATAATCTTTTCAAAGAGTCACCAGCTAAAATAGATGAATGTATTAGAGTTTGTGAAACAGATCTGCTTGCTTTACCGTAAGTATGCATGTTTAAGAAGAAAAAAATTTATTATAATTCATTATATCTTTTTTTATTTATATATAAGTTAAGAGCATTTCAGCCTTTAAATTTTTGTATTTTATTGTTTTACAGTTTCTATGCAACTCGCTGGGTAGAAGATGAAGGTATGGCTTCTAGAGGCATTGTTGTATGGCCAAACATGGTTAAAATTATAAAGTATTGGGAATCATTATGCAAAAGCAAACATCCTAAAAATAAGAGCTACGAGGTTCTGGTAGATCATCATCTACACAAGTTTGTACCTTTGCGTATGCAGTTTTGAAAATTGAAAGGGTTTCTAGTGCTATTTCAAACAGACAGACCTATGGTTGCATTTTTATCTAATAGTTTAGAAATTATATTGCGAAGTTTGATGAAAATGATTCTCAAACCAAACATTTTAAAAGAAGCTGCAACTGCATATAGTTTAACAAAGATTGAAGTAGGTAAATCCAATAACTAACTAGATGCAAACAAAATTGATATCGGAACAGCACTAAAACAGATGCTAAGTTCTCTTCATTGTAAACCAGAAGAGAAATTAGAATTTATGATAGAATGTAAGCAGATTATTGTAGCGTTATTGCAAAAATTACAAGAAAGATCCCCCTTGAAATATTCTTTAGTGAGGAATGCTTCATCTTTGTCTCCAAGTGAAATGGTTAAAAACAAGGAAATATCCATTCTTAAATTCAAGGCTCTTGCTGAAAGATTAAGTGCATTAAAATGGTTATCATCTGACAATGCAGATGATGCAAAACAACAATATGATGAATTTGTTAGTGCAGAATGTGTTCAATTTAACGAAAAATTTGATTCCTTCAACGAGTTAACTGATTCTGTTGATAAATTTTTTGCTGTTTATTTGCATAAAATTCCGAAGTATTCAGCACTGTGGAAAGTCTGTGTTATCGTTTTTGTGTTATCTCACGGCCAATGTGCAATAGAACGAGGGTTCAGTGTTAATAAACAATTGTTGGTTGAAAATCTGCAAGAGAGATCTCTTATTTCTCAAAGAATAGTTTATGACCACATTAGTTCTCATGACATTGTCATACATCAGTATGAGCTCCCTAGTGATCTTTTAAAAAGTTGTTAGCATACAATCGTTACAATATAGTATTGAAAGAAAACAAAGATCAATTAAAGGTAGATGAATTAAGCAGGAAACGCCAATTGATTGATGGAGATATTTTAGTAATGAAAAAACAAAAAGAAAGTGTTGCAAAGTGCATTGAAATTCTTAAATCTGATGCTGATAAGTTAAGCATCGAAGCAGAAGCAAAGAGAGACTTAACTGTTCTTGCAAAAGCAAATTCTTTTAGAAGCACAATTTTAGAAAAAGAACAAGGAATTCAAGACATTGACCTTTCATTAAAAAAAACTTGAGCAATCTAAAAAAAATATGAAATAAAATAGTTTATATCAAAACATACTTATGTATTTAAATATATTTATATATATTTAGTTATTTTGTTCTAAGAAAGTATATTTTGCTTTTACAAGTTATTTAATTGTCGAGAAAATAAATCCTTGAATAATCCAAAATTATCCTTGAAAATCCTGGAATTTTAAGTTTATTTTTAACTGGCCACCCTGATATATATATATATATATATATATATATATATATATATATATATATATATATATATATATATATATATATATATGTATTGGCACTGTTCTGAAATTTGATATATATACAATATATTTGCACACAAGTTTGAAAATCCTTACTTAAATCTAAACAGTTTATTCAGAAAAAAACCCAAAGATTAACAAATAAAAAAGTTTTTTTTGGTCATAATGAAATTCTTTTTATCTAGATAAAATCAACGTAAACCCCATTTGCTGAGTTTTTTGATCAATATGGTACTTATAAATACATTGATATTGTAATTTTTTACAATATTTTTCAGTGAAAATCAAAGCGAAGATGAGGATGGTGATGAAAAAGAGAAAAGGAAAGGTAAGAATTATGATTAGAATACAGGAATCATCTATTTTCAGATATTTCTGAATTTGCAAATATTTCATTAAAGTTTTTTTTTTTTTTCTTCCAGAAATACAAGTTAAAAAACATACTTTTTTAATTTTTCATCAAATAGTTTAAACAGTAATAGGATAGTTCACAAATTATGCAAAGCTATATTAAGACAAAACAAAACAAAAAATTAATTAGTGCTTTAAGTTTAATGAAAATCACTCCGCAAAAATGCAAATATTTAACATGTTGTTTAAGAAATTTAATGGTTTGTTTAAAAGCAGAGATGAAAAGCTTAAGATAAAAAATATACAAACATTAAATTAGTAGTAATTAGTAGTGATGTGCCGGGTACCCGGTTTAGACCTGGGGACTCGGCAATTCGGCTGTTTTACCTGGAAAAAAAGTTTTAGAATAGCTTCTTTTTATTCTGTTAGAACACAAGATAATTTTTAGCAATTTAGTTTTGAATGAAACGCTTATAGTGCTTTCGAACGCTGATAGCACTTTTCATTCGTATCAAGCAAAAATCATAAAAGTAGAGATATAAGATAAATATTATACACATTTTTCATATTTTAATTTCGAGCGTATTATTAAAAAAATTATCGTTCTATATAAAATAAATGAAAACTTTGATATCAAAACTAGTTTCATTATCTTTATAGAAATTTTATTTGAAAGAAAAATTATGACAAAAAAAAGTATAGCGTGGAAGTTCTTTGATATAGGCACGACTCCTCATATGAGTAAGTGCAAACTATGTGATAGTTTAGTTACGAAAGGAGAAAAATCTTTCAAGTCTTATGGAACTACAGCAATGGTAAAACATTTGCGTTTAAAGCATTCCAAAGAGTTTGAACTTGCGGAAGAAAAAAAAAAGGTTCAATCATTGCCGTCTGTTTCTGAAGCCTCAGTTGCTTCTACCACTAATACAGTACAAAGTAACATTCAGGCTTTACACACACAAAAAAACAGTGGAATATTGATGACCACAGATCTATTCGAATCCATAAAATAAAATAAAAACTTATCACATTGGATATTCAGCCATTTTCTATTGTTGAAGATACGGGGTTTAATGAACTGATTAAAAATGCTTACCCCAATTACAAATTACCATGTAGAACATATTTCAGCCAAAAGGTAATCCCTAGCATGTATGATGAACTGTTTAAAGATATAAAAATAAAATATAAATATGCTGTTCTTCGAGTAATTCATTTTCCGGAAAAGCACACAGGTGTTCATATAAAAGAGTATTTACAAAAAGGTTTAGAAACTTTTGAAATCCCGTTAAGCAAAATTCATCTTATTGTTACCGATAATGCAAGCAATATGAAGGCGGCAGTAAAAAACAGTAGAATGTCATCAATTCCATGCTTTATCCATACTTTGCAGCTATGTATTCATGACTCTATATTTAGCCAAGAAACCGTCAAGGAAATTTTAACTTTATGCAGAGAAATAGCGGCACATTTTAATCATTCGCCAATAGCATGTGCAAAATTAAAATCAATTCAGCAGCAGTTAAGTACTGTACCTCACAAAATGAAACAAAATGTTCCAACTCGCTGGAACAGTTTATTTGAAATTCTACAAAGAACGTTTGAACAAAAAGTTTCTTTGGCCACCTATGCAGCAGAATATGATGAAATTAAACTTCCTACTAATTATCAATGGGGAATAGACTTGTTCACATTCTTGCTCCATTTGAAAACTTAACAAAAAAATGTGGTAGGAGGGACGAAACTTGCACACAAATTATACCATCTGTTCTTGCATTAAAAGTTTTATTACAAAAAGCTTCATCAAGTGATAAATATGCTGGGATTATGACGATGATTGATGAACTAATAAAATCTGTTACTAAAAGACTTGATAAATTTTTGCCTAATAAAATGTTATGTGTATCAACATTTTTGGATCCACGATATAAATTACTTTATCAACATGCAGATGAAAATGTTATTAAGGAGTGGGTTGAAGAAGCATTGAAAGAAATGCAAGGAGCGCAAGATGTAGTTGACTCTGACTCCGGCGATGCTCCAATAGTAAAAGCTCCAGCATCTAATGGATTCATTAGCATTGATGATGTAGCTTCTATGAGAACCGGAAGAAAGCAGAGTGAAAAACGTTCCAAGGCAGAAAGAGAATTAGTAGATATTGAAGTTGTTACCACTGACATAATTAAGAAGCAAACAATATTAAGGTCTGCAATTACTCAAGAAATAGACAACTATTTATCTCTGCCTCTTTTAGAAAATAAAGGTTGTTCATTTTTGTGGTGGAGTAAATGTGGAATGCAATTTGAAAAACTTAAAAAGATGACATTAAAATATCTTACAACACCTCCGTCATCAATAGAAAGTGAAAGGTTATTTAGTGCTGGTGGGGACATAAACAAAGCAACAAGGAGCAGACTAAAAGCAGATAACGGAGAATACCTAATGTTTGTGCATTACAATCTAAAGTTAATAAAACAAAATAAGATACAGCAAGTGTTGTTTAAGTTCTTTTTATTTGTTTAAATTTGTTTTATTTTAATCACTCTACAGTGGAGAAGGTCTACCTTTTTGCAATTCTTTATATTTCTTAACCTTTTGCTTTCCATAATATAACTTTCAATGGCGGAACTTCATATTTTGCCCCCTTCCCACAAAATATTATTTAGGCCCGCTCCACCATGAAAGAGTAATAATTTTAAACTAAATATAGTTATTAAAAAACTGTTGCACAACTTTTGAAAAAAGTTAGACCCTACAACTCAGGCCCCTTACCCTGCATTGCGGGGTTTTGCTAAATGGTACTTCCGACACATAACTTTTGGTTAGTTAGCGTAAAAAGCGTATTTTGTGTGAATAGTTCAGCGCTAGAGATTTCACAAGTTTTTATTCCAACTTTTAAAAAATGGACTCGGTGCCGAGTACCCGGACTTGGACCTGGTTTTTTCAGCCAAGTACCCGGAATCGGAGACTCGGCATAAACTGGTTCCGGAACATCTCTAGTAATTAGTATTGAATATTAAGAAAATAAACAGATTAATATGATTATGCAATAAATGGGAATTTTACTAATAACTTATAACCACTGAAAAATATCAAGTTGACCCAACAACCAAAAGAACGTTAGTGAAGACTGTATAGTGCAAACCACAACAAACTAACTTTTGGCGTCAGATCAAGAAATTTAAATAGAAACAAAAAATCTAATAACTTTTTTTGTTTTTAACTGTCTCCAAATAAACAAAAGATCTCAGTATTAGTCAATAATAGTTTTCTCTAAATTTATCTAGTAGAATAGTTCAGTAGATTTCAAACTAGAATACATTTGTTATAAAAATATGCCACATATATCTGTGTTACTCTTGTCGTATTTGCTATCCAGCCTAGTAATTGTAATGAAGGTCTGGTGTCAACTGTAAGTGATTTTTAGCATTTTTTGCATATGTATTCTCATATTTGTAATATTAATCATATTCATAAATTTTGCTGTGACACAGGTAGTTATCAGTTTTTAATTTATTACTGTCTAGTGTTTAGACTATAAATTGTACTACATTTATAAGCTCTCTTTTTTTGATACAAGCATACTGACTCTATAGCATTGTGGATTAGCGCGACAGGAAGTTAGTAAGATCTAATTGTATGGAGTAGTGATTGCAAACAATAACTAGTTTGATCTATAAATGATGTATGATTTGATCTAAGTACCCATTTTAGTATATCACATATTGCATTTTAACAAAAACATTTTTGACAACAAATTTTTTATTGAACAAAGCTTACATATCAGATACAACATTTTTAAACACATGAGATATTCTTAATTACACAAAATGTATTTATATTTTTAAATTTTATCCTGATATTTCTTAAAAACATCTGATATTTTTGTGAAAAAGTTTTCCAGATCATAAAAATGGATGATCACTGAGACTTTGGTTTGTGTAATGTTTGAAGTAAAATTACTTTGAAAACTAATAAAATAAATTAAAACAGAAAAACAAACATTCTATTTAAATTCCAAAAGTTTTTAAAACACTAACTTTTATTAACAAAGAAAAAATAAAAAATTAATAAATATTGTAAACGAGTTTAATTTATTTCAATAAAAATGTCCTTTGCGCCTTTAATTGCATGTCAAATATTTAATAGTTTCAATATATTATCAAGTTGATTTGTTTTAATATTTGTTAATATATTTGCAAAAAAAATGTTTTTAAGAAAACAAATTTTGTAGTGATTAAAGGAAAGCATATTTATGAAAACAAATTTTATGTCAGTGTTTAAACTTTTTAAAATTGTTTCCTTCAAATCTGATTTTTAGGTTCTTTAAAATCATTTGAGCTTTAGTTTGTGTATTTTTTTTTTCTAGTAGTAAGTTTCACTGTGAAAAAAAATTCTCTGGTAGAAGACTCTGAAAACAAACTAAAGAAAAAAAAGCAAGAAACTGAGGAAGATATCACAAAGCCTAAAAAAAAGAAGAAACAAAAAGTGGAAGGAGCATCTTTAAAACCCAAAAAAAATTTGGATGGATTGTTAGAGGAAGGAAACACTGTTGGTATATTTAATTATATGTTTTCAAAAATTAGTTTTTATATGATCAACCAAGTCCAAATTATGACATGATCAATCAAGTCAAAACCATCACTTTTTTTCAATTAAATCTATTCAATTAATTTGTTACTCAAAGAAATCATAAAGTTATTTAGAACTCAGAACTCAGTAAACAATATTGTTAAATTATTGCACCTTTTTAACAAGTACAAAAGTCAAAATTTTTATCTTCACTTATGTTACTTTTTTCATTTTTAAAAAATTTATTTAGCATAAGTCAAGATGAAAAAATGCTTTTAGAAGTCAGAAGTCACTTTTATTTGTTATTTTGGTTAAAGTAAAAATAGTAATTATCAACTTTTTTTTTTTGTTGAATATTCTTCATAATTCTCTTCATCACTCATTAAACTATTTAACAAGTGCTTAATCTTGTTTGCCTGCCTACTGGACAATGGTATCTGTGGTATTTAATATTTTCCTATTTATTAAGTTTTCATAAAAAGTAATATAAAGTCCAATAGCTGCAAAAAATTTTCTTGGCATTCTATATAACGATTTTGTATTTTTTGTATATTTCCATTGATGATCCATTATTATGCAGTTTTGCCCACATTTTTATTATTTTTGTGATTTTTATCAAAAAATTTAATCAAAATTTTTATGTTTATTAAATTAACTAATAGTGCAAAAAAATAAAAATTTGTTAAAATAAAGCATTTTTAAAAAAAGTTACTGTCATTCTAATAATTATGGACAAATGTTAAATGTGTTTAAAAGTCCTCTAAAGAATAAGGTTCAAAATTTCTGTTTTTAAACTTTACGAAAAAACTTGAAAAGTCATCAGCAGCTAATTCAAATCTTTAGAAAAATGATCATGATGATGGTTAAAGATACTAAAGAATTTATGGAATAAACTTTATGGAATAAAATCTTTATTATTGTATAACAAATCAATATACTAGTTTCTTTTGATGTAAAAATGGAAAAATTGCTTTTCAAAACAATATAATAATGGCAACAGGATTATGTTTTTTAGATTTTCATTACAGATTGGTAAGACAAAGTTCTGTATTTTGAGCCTAGCTAGGTATATAAAATCAGTAATTAGTACCCAGTATTATTAATTGCTGCTTTCATTAATTTACTGCTTTTATAGAAAAGTGCTAGAACTAAGTTGCTAGAACTAATGTTAGAAAGTGTTTTATAATAGGTAAGATAAAAATAACTTTTTTAATTTTAAATTTAATTTACTATTTTCATCTTTGAGATAAAATTTAAAAAATGGAAGTTTTGCTGTTTTTATTAGATCTAATATTATTGAAAACTATTGTTGGGCTGAAGCCCACAAAAGTTTGTTTACTACATCCAAAATTCATAAGTGATACGACTGAGAAAATCAAAGTCATTTTTGATTTAATTAAAAACATAGTTTTAATTTTATTTTACTTAGGGATTTAGATCATTGGTTGGAATTTTAAGATTTGTTTGAATTTGAATTTGGAATGGAATAAGGATTTATTTTATTCCGAATTCAATAATAAGTAATTTAGTCATGTTACTAAAAAGCATCTTATGAGAGTTTCTTGTTGTTGTTTTATTGTTGTTTTAAATATGGCTTTATCTAGAGTCAGTTTATAAATTATTTTAATGCATTGAATTCATGGAATATTGTTTTGCCTTGTTTGCTAGACATTATTCCATGTATTTAATTGTTAAGACTAAATTAAGTTTTGTTATGTAATTGCTTTGTAAAATGAGGTATTATTGGTTTTGAATTAATACAATTTTTCCATAATTTCTAAATATTACACATGAGCATCATGAAATACATATTAATTAGTCAATAAGCTATGAGGGTTCCTTTATTAAGCTTTATCTCTAAACACTGACCTTAAAAGGGATCCCAAACTCCCAACACATGTTGTGTTCATATTAAAGATAATGTTAAAAAAAAAGGTTTGAACCAAGTTTTTTTGATTAAAAATAAATTATGAATGCATACCGAGGAAAACTAATGTTGTTGTTTTAGCCGAAGCTCGCTTTCTCCATTTTTTTCAATAACTCGGAGTCTTTAAATTATATGTCGCAATCTACAGACTTTGGCGATTCCTTTGAAGCGCGTTTAATTTATAAAAGTTTTAGTATTTGACGTCATGGTAGACTTTAGACAAATGAAACACTGGAAAATTTTAATTTTTTTTTATTCATAAATTTTTTCATTATTTGTTTAGTTATTTATTTTCTACTTTTTACATTTAAAAAGATATTAAAAACCTTAAATATTTTATGCTTGTTCGTTGCTATAAATTGTTATCACTTTTTTTATAAAACAAGTAGAACAAAAGAGAAAGAAAAGTTTCACATTGTTAAACTTTAAATGAATAAGAAATGTTTGGAATATTTTTTTCTGCGTCACTCGTTCTTTTTTTAGATAAGAGAAATAAAAGTTTAATAGTAACTTTTCTTTGAATAAATTGGAGTTGGAAGAGAAAATTGCTTGAAAACTTTGTCAATTTTGTTAGTTTTTTAATTTTCCATGTTAAGAGACAAATCTCAAACACGATACATAAATTGGTAAATATTAAATATATGTTTTTTAACGCGCATTACGATATTTTGACAATTTAAACTGCCATCTACCTTGAATTGCCATTAATTAATGCGTTAATTATAGCGTTAATTAGTAATAGTTTGTAAAAAACAGGAAAAAATATATATACAATAAAAGTATAATACAATAACACTTAACAAAAGTACAGACAAACTATTATTAATTAATGCTATAACTAGCACATTACTTAATGGCAATTCAAGGTAGATGGTAGTTTAAATTGTCAAAATGTCGTAACGCACATTAAAAAACATTATATTTAATATTGTAATACAAGTTGTAATGCAAAACCAGAATCTCACATATCCTTTAACGAATTTTCATATCTGATACTACTGTCAACTGTATTGTTTAGTGTTTTCTTGTAATTTTTTTTCATAACCTTTACAGGTTCTAATTGGTATGGAGTTGTCGACATTTTGAAAGTTTTGTTATCAAAAATCAAATGTAAATTTTAATGATATTTTCTTTTTATCCAATTTAGCAATTCAAATTAAATCAGTGTAATCAAAAATTTTTTATAATAAAATAATTTAACAGTTTATCAAATATCTCTGATTAATACTGTCAGTTAATGAAAGTAATTGACAGACATTTTTTTTTTTTAAAGTTAATAAAGCAAGATTTTTTTACAGAGTGTTAGTTTAATTGTCATTATAGGAGAGTGATTATTACCATATAAGTGACTTGTACAATAGCAAACCCCCAATAACTTGAACCTCAAACGGACAAAGAAAATGGTTTAAATTATTGAATGTTTGAGTTACCAAATGATTTTTATGAGAAATTGAGTTTGATGGGAATTTTTAAACACTTCGAGTTACTGGTAGTTCAAGTTTATGAGGGTTCCAGTTATCAAAGTTCGAGTTATCAAGATTTTTTATATATTCTGTTACCAGTTTTCAAGGGTATGAGTTATCGAAGGTTCCAATTATCTTTCTAGAATTTTCTATAAATTGAGAGATTTTTTGTATTTTGTTTAGAAACAATGATTTTCTCAGCTTCAATTTGCTCTTAATATAAATTTAGTTTACTAAATTTTTTTTTTTGCCAGCAAATAAAAAACAAAAATAAATGTCATATACCATAAGTTTTTTTTTAAACTGTTTTTAATGAATATTTTAAATGAATATTTTGTAGCATTGTTATTTTTAATGAATATATTATTACATTGCTATATTTATTATATTTTTTTAGTATTCAAATCAAAATAAAATTGCTTTTCTTAGATACATTTGTTCGTAAAAAGAAAAAAAAAATTCTATCCCCAACATTATCTACTGTTAAAAAAAAAAAGAAGGCTTTAATTGAAGAGGAACAGGAGCCATTTCCATTGAAGAAAAATTCTGCTAAACCGCCTAACGATTTAAGAAAAATACAAACTGATTCATCTATTGACCAAGAAGATTCAGAAAAAAAGAAAAAAAGTAAGTTTTCTATTTATTTGAAAAATTATTTAACTTTGAATTTATTATATTTGTTTCAATGTTCTTGCTTGCCCATTATATATTTATGTATTATTATATTATTATGTTAGTTCAAATGTTCCATTCACATATAAAATGTTTAATGTTGATTTTTAACAAAAAAAAAAAAAATTTAATTTTTTAATATGCTGAGACATTTATCTTTTAGCCAAAATTCAAAGTACTAGAAATAAATATTTTTAGCCAAAACATTTAATTTAAAATACATTTGTTGGATTTAAACTTGGTTTGTTAATATAATAAGTGTGATGGTTTTATTGAATAAACCTTGAATAGCATCTTCTAACCACCATCATCATTTCTAGTTTTTACTAAAATATCTTCCATTAATTTAAATGGCATTTGGTATTAGTATGAGTCTTTAATGATTGAAGATAATGTTCTAATGTAATAAAGTCTATAATATTATCTATTCCATTATAATATTAGCTCCATTATAATATTAGCTCTAATTCTATAGTGACATTATTCAAATTCTTGCAAAAAAAAAATGCACTGTACAATTAAGTATATTTTTTGAATACAACAAGTTATTAAATTAGAAGTTAAAAACTTATTTTCACTAATAGCTAATATAGATCCCACTAGGTGTTGTTTGTCTTATTACTAACAACTTGCAGAATTTATATATATATATATATATATATATATATATATATATATATATATATATATATATATATATATATATATATATATATATATATATATATATATATGTATATATAACTTTTTTATCAAATAATTTATGTATGTATGTATATATATATATATATATATATATATATATATATATATATATATATATATATATATATATATATATATATATATATATATATATACACACACACACTTACTAAAGCATATTTTTATAGGCATTTGCTCACTTTTTTTGCTTACCTTAACCCATACAGCTTTTTTAGAAAAAGAAGAAAAAACTGAATGATGAATGAAACGATTGCTGCCCCATCCCAAACTCTCAGTCGATGTAGCAGCACTCCACTGCGAGTCAGGCTATTTGTCAGTCGATTTATGTACTGAAGCCCCCAGCAGCAGGTTATTTCAGTATGACGTCAGATTGCTTACCTTAGTACGCAATACTATTTGTATATATATATATATATATATATATATATATATATATATATATATATATACATACATACATACATACATACATACATACATACATACATACATACATACATACATACATACATACATACATACATACATGTGTATATATATATATATATATATCATTCTTCGTTTTTTTTCTTCTTTTTCTAAAAAAGCTGTATGGGTTAAGCTGTATGGGTTAATGTATGTATGTATGTATATATATATATATATATATATATATATATATATATATATATATATATATATATATATATATATATATATATATATATATATATATATATATATATATATATATATATATATATATATATATATATATATATATATATATATATATATATATGTATATATATATATATATATGTATATATATATATATATGTATATATATATATATATATATATGTATATATATACTCTCACCAAGGAGTATTGTTCCATAAATATTTTAACACTATAAACAAAAGACTATATAACAAAATAAATAAAAGACTAGGGTCGTTTCCACACTTACCGTGAGTTTAACAAAAGTTATTATAGTATGTTAGATTACTCAAAAAGTAGAAGTTTATTAGAAATGAATTTTTGCAGCAATCAATGTAGTACTATAAGGGTTAGTTTAAAATTATTCTCACTCTGAAATTTAAATTGATGATGTACTTATTTTGATCAAACTTTTAAAGCGCAGTTTTCCATACTTATCGTAAGTGTTTCACACTTATAGTATATATTGTTGATACTTATCGTATACCATAAAATCTGCTTTAGTGACTGGTTTATAATGTGCTCGCGGTTTCAAATGAAAATTTAATACATTAGTAACATTTTATTAAACGTTTTTAGGTATATAAATTAAAAAAAAAGACTATTAATTAATAAACATTAATTATATAGTAATGAAAATATTATTTTGAATTAAAAGTAAAGATTTTTAAAGGATTTCCATTACTTTAGTACAAATCTTTTAAACTGGAATGGATAGAATTTTATCATAATTATCTGAGTCTTATATTATAATTATTGTTAACAATGGAACTTGTTTTCTGACTCAGTTTCAAGGCTTACCTTTTCTTTTGCGACTTTCTTTTTCTTTTTCAAAATTTTCATGTTTTCTCTTTCTTTTTTCGTTTTTTCATTTAATAACTTTTTCTCCAAAGCCATTTGTGTCTTTCTTAATCTTTCTTCCTATATATATATATATATATATATATATATATATATATATATATATATATATATATATATATATATATATATATATATATATATATATATATATATATATATATATATATATATATATATATATATATATATATATATATATATATATATATATGTATAAATATACATATATATATATATATATATATATATATATATATATATATATATATATATATATATATATATATTTATAGAAATATTCTGGTATTTTTAAAAGCACTTAACATTATTTGCCATAGAAGGATCAATTATAAATGCAGTATTTATAATTCAATTTGGAAAACCAACGTATATAAAAATTGTTAATGAAAGGTTTCGTTGAAAAAGGCAAAGGTTTTGCTGGCATTTACTGCAAATAAAGTGGTGATGCTTTTTTTATTACTTCGAGCACTTTCTTCATATGTATTTTTTCCTCGTTCACCAATTAATAAATTAGTTTTTGGTGTCAACTGAAAACCTCTCTCATCCATATTGAAAACGCGCATCAAATCATTTAAATATTCAGCGTTTTCTCCTAAAACCTTTGGAATTTCAGTAAACCGATCTTTTATGGCTTTTTAAGTTATTCCTCCTCTAGCTCGGTTTAAGTATTCACCTCGTTTTTGAGATGGCTGTTCGTGATGGCGAAGAAATGCATAAAACCAACCTTTTCCAGGACGGTTGTTAGTAAATTGTATTTTTATATTGTTGGAATTCAAGTATTTTTGAACAGTATCTAATAGCTGTACTACAGACATGGCGAATCCCATTCTGGTGCATGTTAATAACCACTCGTCTAATTTATTTTCAATGTGTTCCTAGTACTGATTCATAACCGCAGTGTTGTATCTTCAGAGAAGTTTTTCCAGATATTTTATCAGGAAGCGTCTGATAGAGAATTCCAATCATCTAGCTTGCTTTGTACACAACCATACCTTTTTTAACAGCATTAATAGCATCTCTTAATTGGCTATCTGTAAATTGAAGTCTTCGTTTTGAGCTACAAGCCTTTGTCTTATTTTTTTATCTTGCCATTGTAAAAGAATCTTAGTGAAATAATTTTTTTTTATGTAAAAAAGAACAAAGTTGATTTTTTATTGGACATACGATATGTATTGAATGACATTTTTTTTAGTTCATACTTATCGTAGATTCAAAAATACTACATTGATACTTCAATGATGAGTAGTTTTAATAATATTAATAGTGATCCATGTTTTATTTACCTAATTAAATCAATTTAGAAATAAAATTTTATGTTATCTTCTTAAATTACCTTGTTTTATTTGAAACGCTTCTAACAGCTGGTACTTAAAAAAAAAGTATTTTCATAGGCTGGCGTAATAAACTCACTGAGTTCATATAAGTAACTATGTATTGCGGTTTCTATGTATTGTAATAGAAGTGCATGACGATGTTGTTGATAAACAAAATATATATTAAAAAAAAAATTACTATTTATTGCAAAATTTATGTTAGTATTGAAAATCTACGATAAGTGTCGACTCACGCTAGGTGTGGAAATGACCCTATATAAAAAAAAGACTAAATAAATAAAATAACAAATAAATGCTTTAAATCAAAATTAAGGTTTCCACAATGCAATTTTCAAGTAAAAGTAAAACTGTAAAACTTGATATATGTTTATATAATTTTAATTATATAATTTATAATTATATAATTAAAATTACATTACATAATTTTAATTATATAATTTATAATTACATTATATAATTTTAAGTTTACATATTTTATAAGTTAGATATTTGCATAGGTTCACATTTCCAAAAACAAAAGTGCTGCAACTCTTACTCAGCGTTTCCTTGATTGCAATGGCTGCCATAAGATCCTTATTAAACAGGCACAAATGGGCACTACTAATATTAAGCAATAATATATAATAATAATAATCCTATAATTTATTGTTATTGAACTTAATGCTACCGTTACTATTTTGCTTGTGTTTGCACAGAGCTCATGGCAGCCATTAAAGCTGAGTTAGTGGCCGAAATTCAAATACCTGAGAATCTTAAATATCTTCAACAGTGCAATATAGCTGCAAACAAAGCAAATAGTATGCTTTGAATTCTTAAACACACGTTTGTATCAAGAGACATTTAGAAAAAAAAATTATACTGCATATATTAGACCACATCTGGAGTTTGCCATTCAAGCTTGGAACCCATACCTTGATAGTGACATAAAAAAAATTGAAAAGGTACACCCAACACAACAAAAGTTCCTCAGGCTTTGAAAAATAAAGACTACAAAACTCGATGTAAAATCATGAAATTAACCACTCTTAAAAACAGACAGAAAAGAGGCGATCCTATTCAAAAATATAAGCTATATATAATATAAGCTTCTCAACAGTTTAAACCTTATTGATTAGCACATATGCCTTGCAGCATAGCACCCAGAGCTCAACATCGAATCAGATTTCATCATGAGATTGTCAGGAACTGCGAAATTAGATATAAGTTTTTTAACAACTGTGTAGTCAATGACTGGAATGCTTTGCCAGATAATATCATCATCAGTTAATAAATTTGAACAACTACTATACAGTTTTCAGTCATTGTAGTTACTACAGCTCTTCATTTACCATAAATGCCACCAAATATATATATATATATATATATATATATATATATATATATATATATATATATATATATATATATATATATATATATATATATATATGAATTTATATACATGTTTAATTATTTTTTTAAATAATTAAAAATATATCTATATGATGTAAATAATATCAATAAATATTTTTTTACCGCCTATTAAAAAATATTGAAGTAGGTAATAAGTAGAGAAATGGTCGGTCAGGAATAGACTTACTATGACCTGAATTATACTGGTCCAGAATAATAATAATATTTAAGAAAAACTAATAATAAAAGTAATTAGAAAAAGAAGATAATTTAAAGTGACATGTTTTTTTTTTATAGATATTTTCTTATTACTTGTTTTTATTGTTTGAAATGATTAGTTTACCTAAATATTATGTATTATATTAAATACTATGTATTATATCAAATATTAATATGTAATATATTACGCAAGGGAGCTGGACAATTTAAAATTATTTAACAAAAGAATATTTCTCATTCTGATGTTTTTATACCTACCAAAAATATTATGTATGAAATCAAACATGTAATAAATATATATATATATAATATGTAATAAATGTAATAAATAATATATTATAAAAGTGAACTATTTTAGTTTTTTTAGCAAAAGAGTAATCTTTATTTTCTAAAATCTAATATTTGCTTTTTTCACTAATTTCTAGATATGTTACACTTTTCAATGTTGCTTTTATTTTCTTTATATACAGTAAAATTAGTTTTTATTATATGCAATAATAATTTCAATACTAGTTTAAAATATGTTTAATTACACAATTAATGTTCAAAAAATATTTAAAACAAAATAAGTTTATATACATATTATAACTAGACACTAGATAATCGGTATCGTATAAGTTGATACCGAGAAGAATGGTCTCATATCGCATGGTATCGCTTATATACTAATGTCGATACTATCAGTATCGGTTTGATACCACTCGATACCGAGAAGGATGGTCTGGTATCGTGTGGTATCGCTTATATTCCAATGTCGATATTATCATTATCGCTTTGATACCAAATGATACCAATAATAAAAAGAATCATATAGTATTGCATGGTCTCGAATCGAGACTCAATAAAACAAAAAAACAAAAAATTAAAATGTGACTTATTGAATTTTTTATTAACAAAATATAAGTACAATTGCTTTTAAGAGATTTAGTTATTGTTTTTTAATAATGTGCAATACTTTGGCTATCATATATTCGTTGTTTTTTCCTTTGCCGTACTTTCATTTGTATTTTAGGATTTTTTTCTAATAATATTGGCAAAGATAAGTGTGATTCATGTCCCATATAACTTTCACTTTCATTTTCTTTTTCAATAGGCCATTTTTTGATGCAATTTTTAAGAGTGAAATAGTTCTGCATTATAAATACAAGCTTATCTGCCTTGTCTCTGTCAAGATTGTATCTACGATCAGTGATGACAAGACCAGAAGCAGAAAATGCTCTTTCAGATGATTCAGAGGTTGGTGGAGTAGCCAACCAAGATCTTACAACACCCGAAAGGATAGGAAGTTCCGCTGCATGCTGCTTCCACCATGCTAAGATGTCAATTTTACCTGCATTTTTGGATCTAATTGTTTTTTGGTATTTTTTTTTTATCTATTTCTAGTTTAATAGGGAGGGTTTTCGTGTATATGATGTGAATTAGTATCTTCCTTATACTTTGCTAAAATAATATTGTATTCATTTTCCTCCCAACCTTGTGCATTATCAGTAACGGAATCGTTATTACCGTTGTTATTACTGGAGCTTGAGACAGACAATGAAGAGTTCTCAAAGTATTCTTTGGTTGTGGGATGGTTTTCAACCAGTTTTTGAATATTTTCATCGTCAACATCAAGAAGATGTCCACAGAAAAATGGATGAAGATAATGTCCTAGTGCAAATGCGGGTAACTTACGGCCTTTGTCTGGGAATCTCTTATTTAGTTCTGATAATAAGTCCTCTAAGAATTTTTCTACTAACTTGTTGTTTCCATGAGTAACATAATTATTTCTTTCTTTCTCGATAAAGTTGATTAGTGCTGTTACTTTCCACAGTGACATGTCAATTCGGATTTCTGTGTCAGAAGATAAAAAAACTGATAATTCTTTAACAGATTTAAGCACTGGATCAATAGCTTCAAAGAGTAAGAACTGTTCATCTGTAGGTATGGTTTTCTTCCAATCATCACCTGGCGTGCAGCATATTGTAATGGCTATTCCATCTTGTGGTAACTGTGGGGGGTGTTTTGAGGTAACTAACATCTAACCTGGAACAAGCATCTTTCAACAAAGCACTGAAGACTTTCAATTTATGAAGCCTGGTAGTAAGTGAGCTGGCTTTAAGAAAAGCATCTTTCAGTTCCAGGGTACTCTCAACTATTCTTTGAAGTGCAGTCTTGAGTTTGTGATTACTGCATGTAACAGAGCCTTCTTCTTTAGTCATTAAAAACACACTGTTGTTTAGAGCACATGCCATATTTGATGCCTGATAAATAACACACAGCTTCTTGTGTATTTTTTTTAATGATTTAGGGCATGAGAGTGTGTTATCAAGTGCTTTTGCAATGTTGATACCAGTGTGTCACTCTTTGATTAGGCACACTTCTAATATAAATTTCTTTAGGGCAAAATCTGGCAAGATATAATGTAATGTCACGGACATGTATGAATCATTTGTTCTTGATGTCCAGTGGTCGGTGGTTATAGCAACCTGATTAAGATCTATGAGCTCTTTTTCCATAACTTCATGCATTACTACCTTACTAAAGCCGAGGGAGTTTATTTTTTGAGAAAGTTGTTGAATGTTTTATTTTGGCATTTGGTAATATTTTGTTCATAAATCTCTTAAAATTTTCAGAATCAGCAAAACTGAACGGCAAATACTCAGTAGCAATCATAGTAATGATGTCATGATCAACTACTAATTGATGCCAATCTTGAAGTGGCCACTTTTTTATAACTGCCTTCTTCAGGAGAGTGAGAGTTTTAAAGGCTACATCTTTTGCGAATCCAGAAGCACCTGTCTCGATTACGTTTAGTTCTTCATCTCCTTGTGATCTTCACTTGTCTTCTTTTTTTGAATCCTAATAGTTAATAAACAATAATAGTTATAACGTAAAAGCGTAAAAAAAAACTGTGTTTTTATTTAAAAAAAATTAAAAAAGTTTAATTCCCATGAAAGACTTGAACCTAGAACTCCATGTTTATATGCCATAACTTTATCCCCTCGGTATTATATCTAATAATAGTTTTGCCGGTAATTAGTTTTAGAATTATTTCCCGGTAATTTTGAGATAAAGTATAAAAAATAATTAGTAGTGCTTACCTATATTTTTCTTGAAATAATCCCAGATTAAAGATGTTGTTAAAGGCATAACGAGTGAAGATTAGTTTTCTGTAATAACTAAAGTATACTTATGTTTAATTGTTTAAAACTAAAGTTTAGTTATTGAATGTTGAACACAGAATAAAGACCAGGCGAGAATTACAATACTACGAGAGATTTAATAAAGTAACGTTACCAAAAGAGAAATTAAAATGAATGCAAATGAATAAAAACAAAGACACCAGATGAGAAATTAAATGATAAACATGATGTCATACAACCAGCCCAGATCTTTTTTTTTTTTATAATAAATGAGCCATTATGTATCTCATTCATTATACGAATTTACAATTTCAAATTACTAATCGTTTATAAAAATAACATGGAAGTTCCCATGATGACCGAGTCAGTAATAATAAATATATTGATCGTTATGTAAGTTTTTTGTATTTTTACTTATTTTTTTAATTTTATCAATAATATTTTGAAGTTTGACATTTCTTAGGTAGGGGAAGAGGGTAGTTACCCTGAATATCACCCACCCTCCCTTATCTTTTTGTTTGCCCGTTACACTTGTGTAAAATGTTAATAAATGTTAAAAAAATCTTTTCTTTCCTTTTAATCACGGTAGAAAAAATTGTAATTAAGGATGAAACAGATAAACAAAAAAAGATAAACAGATGAGAAATTAAAATACAGAAGTGGTACCACACAATTATTTAAATTAAAACAAAGACACCAGATGAGAAATTAAATGATAAACATGATGTCATACAACCAGCCCAGATCTTTTTTTTTTATAATAAACGAGCCATTATGTATCTCATTCATTATACGAATTTACAATTTCAAATTACTAATCGTTTATAAAAATAACATGGAAGTTCCCATGATGACCGAGTTGCAATACCAATTGATACTATCGTTACCAAACAATACCAACATAACCGATAAATTTTGATACTAGTATCAATATCGATACTGTAAGGTATCGCACTGAAACTAAATGATACCAACATAAACAATACTTTCAATACCAGTATCGCGTGATATCGATATCGATACTGTACGGTATTGCAGCAATACCAAACGGTACCAACATAACCGATACTTTCGATACCAGTATCGCGTGATCTCGAAGTCGATACTGTAAAGTATCGCATCGACACCAAACGATACCAAACGATGCCAAAATTAACGATACTTTGGATACCAGTATCGTGTGATTTCGATAACAATACTGTATGGTATCACACCAATACCAGACAAGAAATCATGACTTGATTATCTTGTGTTAACAAGTTTCTTTTTTAAATAATATAACTTTATTTAAAAATAAAAATTATGTAAAATTATTAAATCTAAGTTTAAAATCTAAGGTTATATAGTTTAAATGAGAAGTTAACAGTTTTTTAAATTAAAACATGTTATTAATATTATTTTTGATTGTTATAATTTTATAGAAGATTCATTGTGAAGTTTTTAAGTTGTTATAATTTATTAAAATATTTTTTATAGAAATAAAACAAGGAAAGCAGTCCCCCTTAGAAAATATTAAAAAAATAAAGAAAAATGAGATTTCATCATTATCTCCAACAAAAAAGAAAGTAAAATCAAAAATATCTGATGATGAGAACAATTTTGATAAATTGCACAAAAAACAAAATAAACCATCTCTTACATCATCTGATGATGACGATGACATTCTACATAAAAAGAAGATTAAGAAAGGAAAAAAGCAAATAAAAACAAGTGTATCATTATCTCCAATAAAAGATTTGTCTTCGTTTGATTCAGGTACCTTTTAAAAATTTTGTAAAGTTATTTGTTATATATTAACAAATAATTCAATAAATTTTTGCTTGTAATATGGATAATTTTGATGACAGTTACAAAGCAAAATATTCAAATTAAGTGAAAAAAAAAAATCTATTTTTTGTTCAACAAAACAAAACTTTTCTGCAGCTTAGGATTTACATTTTTTTTTAACTGCAATTTACTACAACATCTAACTTACTCATAAATATCTACTATTTAGTTTAATATCTACAAACTTACTCATAAATATCTACTATTTACTAAAATATCTATTTGCTCACTCATAAATATCTACAATTTACTATAATATCTTTTAACTTACTCATAAATATCTACAATTTAATATAATATCTACAAACTTACTCATAAATATCTACAATTTGCTATAATATTTACTAACTTACTCATAAGTATCTACAATTTACTATAATATTTACTAACTTATAAATATCTACAATTTACTGTAGTATCTACTAACTTACTCATAAATATCTACAATTTACTACAATATTTACTAACTTACTCATAAATAACTACAATTTGCTACAATATCTACTAATAAGCTCACTCATAAATATCTACATTTTACTACAAAATCTACTAACTTTTTTTTTTTTTTTTTTTTTTTTTTTTTTTTTTTTTTAAATTCACCTCCTCAAGGCCGAGAAGGCCACTACAGACGAGGAGGCTACTTATTTGTGGCTATAACCCTCTCTCAACTCTATAACTCCGAAACACGAACCTTGACAAACAAGGCCGCTGCGCGGAGAAACAAGTTGAGCGCGGTACTACCAGGGACGTGGTGGGGATCGAACTCGGAACCACTCGTTTATGAAGCGAGCGCTCTACCACTACACCACTACCGCATAACTTATTCATCACTATAATACTAAACTACATCTATTGAACTACAATCTACTAAATTTCTACATATCTAGAATTTTCCTATTTTTAATGTAACCAAATTTTTTATATGTGATTTTTTGATGATCCACACATCCACAAATTGTCATGTTAACATAATAATATGGTAACAAATTTTTTTATGTGCTTTTTAATATTTTTATTTTTAGACTAAACAATTTTATTTATTGTTTGATCAACACACTAACTTTATAAATAATAATAAAATACTTACAAAGATTTTGCTAATATTTTAGATAATATTTTAGATAGTGTTGGTTTAACTTCTGAATCAGAACATGATGAAAGAGTTAAGAAAAGAAGAAAAACATACCATTTTAATGATAGAGGAAAAGAAACTTTTTATGAAAGATCACATTTTGTTGGTAGACAAAATACAGATATGCAGAATCGTATAAAAAAAAATTTTAGGGATTTTGATAAAAATCGCGATGATCGACTTCCTGAAAGACGACAAAACCAAATCCGCCAATATGATCAAGAAGATTTAGATAATCGTCGTCATGATGATTTTCACAGAAACAAGCGAACTGATCAGTACAATAGTGATGATAGATTTACAAGTAGAATAGACAATCGCCAAACATATAATCATTACAATAAAAGGAACAACGATTATAATCAGTTATCCTGGCATGATAATGACTGTGATGAAAGGCGAACAGATATGCGCTTTGATGATCGAAATCATAATATGGATGACAGGTGTAATAATCGAAATCCAAATAACAGATATGATTACAGAGATACAAGAGATAACATTGATAATCAGAGAGATTATTATCGAGAGGATAAGTATGTTTATCCTAATATTTAACTTTTTAATTTTTCTTTTAAACTTTATAAAGTTAATTAAGGATAAAAGATTAGTAATCTTATTCAAAACTTTTTTAATTTTTATTAAAAATATTTTTTCCAAATGTTTTTGGCTTACTTCTAGTTATAGTTAAATTCTATGCATTGGGTTATAGTTATATATAAACAAAGTTATGCATTATTCTACTTATATTTAATACTCTTAAATATTCTACTTTATAAATAAAAATATATAAACTACAAAATAAAAAATATATAAAAATTTATTAATAAAATATTATTTTATAGTTAAAAAGGTCAAGTATTTTTTGACATTGCTTTTTTGCATTTAAACAACTGGCAAAACATTTTTTTTAATTATTCTTGGATTCCACTGAGCTCCTGGTGGTCCTTATTTTCCTTTAAGTGCAATCTGCTATGTTGAGGTATTTTTTTATCATAAGCATAATGTGTCACAAACACTTTTTGTAAGCATCTACAAAATCTAAATCATGTTTTTGCTTTTTAAAGGCAGGAAAACATGAAGATGGAGATAATTCCAAAGCACTAATGTTTTCGCAAAGAAAAAAATTCAACAAGTAATAGTTTTTTGAGCATGAAGGAACAGTTGTAGTAAAATGATGCAACTTTGCTAAATGGCATGTCATGCAAGATTGACTTTTAGTTGATGCTTTAAGTGATCATAGCTTGTTTGAGCAGTGCTTATTGTAGTATTTGTAAAAAGGAGAAAGAGGTGCAACATTATCCAAAGATGATGGAACAGAGGTATTAGCTTGGCAGCTTGAGCTATTCCAATAACATTTGCATTGCATTTTTATAAAAAAGAGAGCCTCATTAGAAAAACCAGCCCAAATATGATATCAATATTTTATACAAGAGAGAACAAGAGATTAGTAGAGTTGGAGAATGGAATCAAGAGTAATAAAATGGGGAGCATGATGAAAAAAGACAATTTATCTAATGTTAACGGATTGTATATATGATTTTTATGAAAGATTAGTAATAAATGAATGATAATCTAAGAAAATGTAAAGTAGATAACTCAGGGTATTGTCATTAATCAGTATATCAACAAGGTTGCAATAATTATTAGTAGTAAACAACTAAAATTCACTTTCACTGCAGGCCCCCTTTTACAGAAAAGAAATCATATTCATGATTGGCTGCTTGTTTTTAGCAATAAAATGGCTACTTTTTGTCAAAACTGGAGTATATAGTTGTTTTATCAGAAAATAAGTAATATAAAGTGGCTAAAGGTAAGATTAATAGGAAAATTATTAATGTAGATTAGGAACAAAAATGGACCAAAAATGGAATCTTTCAGTACTCTTTCGAAGAATAAATCTTTTCGGTAAGTTATGGAAAATATCAGAGAGTGTTGAAGAGCAAGAACTAACAACAACTTTTATACTGTAGTTAAAATAAAGTTTTAAGGGTCCCAGAAACACCCTTTTTTCCCAGAAACCCTTTTTTCCCTTTTTTAAAGTGAGCTTATGGAAAAGACCAGCATGTCAGACTTTATCGAATGTCTTTGATATGCCAAGAACAATAATTTTTGCCTCTAATGCACAATATAACCCTTCTATTATAAAAATTTTTCTGTTATAACTGTCAACAAATCAGCAATAAAGCAAGATCATTAGTATTTCGTCTGGCAAAACAAGAAGTGGGTCACCTATAGTTATTTTTTCAAAGTTTTTGTTTTCATGTTTGCATTAGAGGGACTTCGGCATATTTTATTTTTATCCAATTGAATTCCTTGTGCAATAACATATTCCCATGAAAAGCAAATAGGATATATTAGAGCACAAGAAGTCAGTAGGGGTTTTATGAACACAAACAATACTAAAAATATTTTAGTTAGACTCACAAGTTTTAAATAAAATTTATTAACTATTAATTGTTAACTATATGTTAGTTTTAATAAAGATATCAGTTTTATATAATATGCATTATAAAATGTATTAGTATTAGTAAGTGAATGGGGCCCTGGCCCGACTAAAAATGAGATTTTTTGCAAACCCCGCCCCATCAAAATTATAAGATTTAGCAGGGGTTAATAACCAGGGCTAGTAAAAAATTTATAATACTCTTTGTATTATAATTTTAAATTTACATTTACTAATTACTACATAAATACACTGGCATATATTTATATATTTTTAAACTCTAATTTACTTTCAACAAGGTTATAAGCAACCACTATTAAGTTATAAGTTACTTTAAAATAGAGGACAGGTTAAAATACTAGAAAATGGTTAACTGAAGACTTTAAAAGTTACAGGATGTATTAAAACTGAAAACACGAAGATGGGAAAGAGTTAAAAGGCTTTTTTGATGCGCAAGGACAAAAAACTGAATTAATTAAAAAATTTTATAGCATGAAGGGACAGATACAGTAAAAGGATGCAACTTGTTGAATAAGAAGCCAAGTAATAATGTGTTTTGGTTTATCGTAATAGTGATAATAGCTGGTTTGAACATTGACCATGATAGTATTTGTAGAAAAATGAAAGAAATGCATCTTTACAACAATGCAAGAGTGGTTCAAGCTTGGCAGATAAAGCAGGTCTAAGTACATTTACAATGTCCTTATAGACTTTGTCTGAGAGTAAGAGGGTTGTTATATATCAATATAGGAATACCAACAGTATTGTAATATTTTTTTGCAGTAAATAAAAGAATTTTGTTGCTTTAAAAAATCCACAAGCCACTGCAAGCCTTAGGCTGTTACAGAAGAGAGATCAGGTTAAAAACCGGCACTTGTGAATATTTTTTGTCAAGACAAAAGTATAAAGTTGAGTCTTTAGTTAATAGAGGTACTTTAGATGTAAAATTTTCATGAAGATTGTTATTGTAGATAAGAAACATTACAGGAGCAAAGATAGAACTTTGTGTTACCCTTAAAATTACTTAAAATAAAGTGGAGTGAAGACCTTCAAGAATAACTTTAATTCTGCAGTTAGAAAGAAATAGTTTATTAATCTCAAAAACGTTATATAAAGAAACTAATAACAGAGTGAAGACTTATCATAGGATAGTTAGAGAGGTCAAAGTGTTTTCCAGAGTTTTGAAAAATTGGAACCACTTATTTAGCACTTTTTAAAAGTTAAGCAAAAATTTTAGAGAATTCTGGAAAATACTTTTTTAAGACTATGATGGAAATCTTGTCTGGAGCACAAACTGTAGAAGTCTTCAATTGAGAACTAACTTTAGCATTAGAAGCCATAGTGATTTTAATGTTTAACAATGGGTTAATCTGTTTAATTGGCAGGAAGAGTGTGTCCATTAGATTTAAGAGTTGAATTAGAGTAAGATTTTTTTGCAAAAAACTTTTTTTGCAAAAAACCTTATTCTGGGAAGAAGTATAAAGTCAGACACATGACTTAGAGATTAAAAGTTAGACGTACCTTAGATAATGATACTGTTGAAGACCAAAAATCTTTAAATCCATCATACATCTGAGATAAGAAACAAGGTTTAGTAAACTTAGAATAAAAGAGCTTTATATCAGACAGGACCTTTTTACATTAATAAAAAGACATTTGTTAATAAGAGAGATGTTCTTGTACAAATAATCAAAAAAATGATTACTGTTTAATAAAGCAACTACTCAAGATGGTAAAAAATGCAGAGTAGAATGAGGCTTGACTTAATATATATATATATATATATATATATATATATATATATATATATATATATATATATATATATATATACATATATATATATATATATATTTATATTTATATATATATATATATATATATATATATATATATATATATATATATATATATAAATATAAATATATATATATTTATATATATATATATATATATATATATATATATATATATATATATATATATATATATATATATATATATATATATATATATATATATATATATATATATATATATGTATATATATATATATATATATATATATATATATATATATATGTATATATATATATATATATATATATATATATAAATATATATATGTATATATATATATTTATATATATATATATATATTATATATATATATATATTTTTACTACTAAAAATTTCATGCGTTTAGCAATCATCAGGTAAAAAATACATTGGTTTTTTCCTTAAAAAATATTATCCTTATAAACATTGTGACGTTCAAAAACTATTATAAAGCTGTTACTATTTGCGAGTTTGGTTTTTTAATCTTTGGGCTTGTGGTTGTTGAGCAAGAACTTGTTAAAGATTTTCCTAAACTTAATCGACAAATATTTTCCAACATCCCAACCCCTAAGTAAACTATTCGGTTGAAACACCTTCAAAGTGAGTTACAGTTGCACCAAAAATATTGAAAGAATAATAAAAAGCCACAACAAAAAAATCAGTTCCGAAAGACTAAAAGATTACCCACTCTGCAATTGCATAAATAAAGAAAACTGCCCTATAATAGGAAAATGTAGAGCCTCTAATGTTATTTATAAATGTATAGTATCCCCCCCCCCCACCTAATACTCCAGAAAAAGTATATATTGGTCTAGCAGAAGGTGAATGGAAGAAAGTATGGGCTAACTACAGACACTCATTCAACCACTCTTTTAAAGTATATATGGCAGATTAAAAAACTTAAAAATGACACCCAAATTAACCTGGTCAATAATTAAACAAGTCCCTGTCTACAGCAAAAAAATGCTTGCTTTGCCTTCATGAAAAACTTTGCATAATATCATACAAAGGTACGCAAGAATTGTTAAATAAAAAAACAGAATTAATATCTAAGTGCCATCATGAAAATAAGTTCTTGCTTGATAACCACGAGCCCAAAGATTATAAAACCAAACCCGCTCGCAAATAGTAACAGCTTTATAATTGTTTTTGAACTTTACAATGTTTATTAAGAGTATATTTTTTAATGAAAAAAACAATGTATTTTTTATCTGATGATTGCTAAACGCATAAAACTTTTAGTAGTAAAAC